AGTATTAAGAATTATGTCACCATAGTAAAATTCTAGATTTATTCTAATAATGAAATCACATTATCATTTGCTTAGTTGTTTTGTAGTGTAAATAATATGGAATACTTATATACACAAAATAAATGATCTTACCATTCTTGGATCTCTATCAATACTACAAATAATGTAAAACACAACTTTTCTGAACTCTTTAAGATCAGACTCAATACACACTTTGGTTAAGTTTTGCATACTTGAGACATAATTTCTCTCTGGTATTTGGTGATATAAGATAGTTATATTCAGCAGTCAGTTGGTGTCTAGAATTGGTAAGTATAATCAATTTCAATAAAATAATTTTTATACTTCAAATATAAGGGGGTGTTATGAGGTCAGGTACACCAACATATGGAAAAACATGGAATAATGTTATATATTCTAATTGCTATCTTCATAAGGAGCAAAAAAAAAAAAAAACACTAAACAGAAAATGTTGAGAAAATAAGTAAAAATAAATTCATCCTCTACTGTTGAAGAGTAATTTGGGGGTTACAAATACTATCAACCTGAATATGTGAATGTTGGAGAGGTTCTTTAGCATCTGAAAAAGTATTCACGTGCCTACTTACCCACAGGAGACATTTCTGGAACACTAGCAACATAAGGTCCATCCAAAAACTTTGGCTCATTGTCATTAATATCCTGCACTTTGATGATGAATTCTGATTCAGGCTCCAAAGGCTTCCTGGTCTCTATGTCTACAGCCTGTGCACGAAGGGTATAGAAAGGTTTTTCTTCTCTATCCAGGCTCCTTATTGCATGAATGTCGCCTGTGGTTTCATCAATGGTAAAAACGGTCCCGGCACCATCTCCTGAGAGGGTGTATTTAACAGTACCCTCTCCCTTGTCCAAGTCAGAATGAAGCTTTGGGGTGGGGGAAGACAAGGAAAGAGAGGAGAGAAGAAAGGGATACCATTAAAAATTTTGCCATTATTAAAGAGTCACAATTTGAAAAAAAAAATGTGCTGTGAAAACCTATGTAGATAGATAGATAGATAGATAGATAGATAGATAGATAGATAGATAGATCCTTGATATTCTAATTACACATTTGAGTTCCTTGCCTTAGTTCATAGATGGACAACAAATTCGTCCTTTCATTGATTTTACTTTCAGTTCATTCTATTTTTAATGCATTTTGAAGATCAGAAGCACACTCCAAACCTAGTGTAAGTGTAACTGATTCTGATTTTGAACATTTGTTGTGTTCCTTTGTATCTCTTTAGGAATAAAATTTTCATCAGAAACTATTCACAAATCTTAAGCATAGTTATTGTTTTAGATTAAATGATCATATGAAAACAAGTAAGCTGATAAATACCAAGTTGTAAGTCTTCCACATGAGCTAAGGGTAGAAATTAATGACCAAAAATAGAAAGAGATGAGTTAAGAAACATCTCAGAAAACACTGAGCCTTTTTCTTTGGAAAAGAAAGGTA